TTTTAATTACCGTTGATATTGTATTTATCAGGGGTTAAAGCTAATCAAAAATGTATTAAACAGAATTCAATGTAAAGTTTGACAGGAATTTAACTCCTTCATTTAACGGATTATTCTGACTAATCAGAACAACTCTCTTGGAGTGATTATCACTGCTTTCGTTTATCCTATTTCTATTTATGATTGACTTCAGTTCATTTACTCGACCAAAATATCTGTTAAATTCATCTTGCTAAGTGGTTTGGGTTTTCAGGAAGCTACGGAGCTCGACCACTACTCGATATCTCAGACCGAAGTAGGTGAAGTCGAGTTCTAACCTGTCACCTAATGGTTGAAATCCGAATTCTTTAACCATAAATCTACCACTCCACCTAGATTTTCCAGTAGATACATTTGAAAAAAACATGGCCTTATTTATGGGTTTTCCTTGGCTTATTTACTTGCTTATTGAATTGAAATAATCAAGGCAATGTTACTACATAAAGCAGTTGTTTTCCTGGATGCTTCACCTGCACTAATGATGTCATATGATCGGATTCACTTACAATTGGTACTCTAAGAAATTAGGTCATTAAGTACCCTTCACCAGGTGAAAAGTAACCTATCAAGGACAAAAGTTAACAATTTTATGGAAATTTGTTCATAAATAAATGAATACTTGTAAAGTACATCGCCCAGCTTGATAAATTGGTTGGAAACATCTTTGATTGGATAATTGGTTCGTGCACTCGATGTCCAAGTATATAAAGGTCTATATACACGTAAACTTTTATAATATGCCACAGAAAGACCAAGTTGTTCGACAGCAACCAGGAAATCCTAGTCGGAGTGGAACACCTACCAGCAGGGGTGCATCCCCATACCCAAATCGAGGGTTATCGCAATCACCACGCCGTAATGACACATGTTGTTATTGTTGCGGTTAGTTTTTTCATACCGACCTATTATTGTTGTCTTTAACACGTATTTTGTTAATTATGTATTCATTAACACGTCGGAGTGTATTGTAACAATAACTAAGTAAACATAAATTTGTTATATGAACACTTATACAGCAAACTTTTTTACCAGACGACATAAACAAATATTTTACATAATATTTAAATCGATTAACATATCAATATTACAAAGAATCTAGACAGTTCTATCCCAATGAAATCATTATTCGTTAGTTCACCTGAGATTACTGATACAAACTCTGTGATAGGAAATGAAATATTTTCCTTACAATATCAAGTTTAATAAACATACTACATGGATTGAGATCTTCAGCAATTAAGAGATGAAAAGTTACGAAGTACGGGTTCTTACCTGACTAGTACGTAATAATAAGTGTGAATTTATTAGATTTGTTAAGTCTATGTAATCTACCTTTAAAAATTTGTCACATAACTCACCATCTATTTTATTAAGAAATCCTTGAACGTCAATTATATATGTGATGTTAATATTTTTGACACTGTTCTCCAAACTATAAATAACGATATTGTCTGACTATGAAACTGTCCTACGCATATAAACAAGAGGGCAAGTTAGTTCACTGTGACGTGTTGTATTTTAAAAAGAATTTAATTAAAAAGTGTTTGTCCAGTGTGTCAAATCAGGATAGATACAATCGGTGAACAAGAGTTAGCAAGTTAACTTAAGTAGTCATCAACGTGACAAAATCTAAATGACAATGCACATTTGAACTAACAGGTCGTTGGTGTTTTTTAACCCAGCAGCATAAAAGAAAACATTGCCACATTTTGTGTTTGTGCACAGTTCAAAATCTACTAGTATTCCTACTAAACAATATATTCTTTTATTGATAGGCAAGAGGAGACCAAACAGTAGGCGAAGTCCAAGACGTGGACGCTAAAGAAGAATTTGGAATTTGATTGTAAATGATCTGCTGTTGGATCTAAACTTTGAACACCTGTTAAGATAAGAAGTTCGATTTTCTCAAATAAATTTATTTCTACTAGTATTTTCTGAAATTACCAGTTGACCATAATTTTAGTGAACCAGGAATATTTATCTAATATATACAGACTTCCAAGTCATCTTCAGCTTACTCATGCTGTCGAATCAGATAATATTTGCAAAATTACGCCATTCAGGAAACTATGTACCAAAACACCACTTTCTCCTAGTAAAGCCTAATATTTGTGCTATAAAGGAATTATGAAACGAACTACAATAAAAACAGTCTCTCCTGTACGGTGTGAAATGCCTTGTAAAGAAGAAGAAAAAGAAAAATGGTTCAGTAAATCTTGGGATTGTGGCTAACAATAGTCAAGCACAATCGGTGTTTCGTGACTCATCAGATAGATATATCTGAGTTACAGTTCGTGTTCACACTAAAACCCGTAATCAGTATCTTTCACTTCAAACGCCAACTAAGCTATTGAGTTCAGATAACCACTAAATTGTTCATCAGGAATGAAGTTACTATTAACCAGTCAACTTCAGTTCTGAATGTCAACAACGAGAAAGTACCAAACCTTAAAAATAAAAATGTGTTTAATAATTTTACATATGATCATTAAGTCAATAGCAGTCTTCGTAGACCCTTGAGTTCAAGTTGCATTCGGTCAACTAAATATTTAAAGAAATTACATCAGACACGAAGTTACTAAAAAATCATTCTCCATACTTCCTAATACAAGGGCCACGTATATCTATTGAGTCGAAACTAAAAACCTGACTTTGTAGAAAACACTATCAATTCGCCAACCTCTCACCAGTGGCTGCAGTATTTTATCAGTCAATAACTCAATCATAATGTCAAGTAAATATTTCGTGATTAACATTTACTTCAGTAATTGAAAAAATATCTCAGTATTGAAAGTTCAAAGAAGGTTATGTGTCATACTTATTCATTTGAATCATTCCAACACATGGTTCAGCAATCAATTTTTGGTTAGTTGGTTTTTGGGAATTTATTTCATATGAAGACAGTTGTCATGACATAATGACACCAAATGAATGACTGGGTAGATACTTTGTTCTGGTCCAACATTCTTAATCAGTGCTCACTCGTCACCACACAGAAAATCTGACTGTCGACAGTGAAGTCTCACCATCTCGTCGAAGCAAACAGTTGAGACCCTAAGGTCAACATTTCCGACTTCAACTAGATTTCGATGTGCCGTAATCATCATCTGATGCCATCCATATTCTGTTGTCCGTCTCAGAGGTGCCTTGTTTGCTATAAACTCTGAGCATTCCGTGTTCCAGTGAGTATAGAAACATGAGTGTATGCTTGTGGCACTGGAATGTAACCACTGTTTATTACTTTCTGGTTAACAATGAAATCACTTTTTAGTGAGATGTGTTCATATTACTTGAAAATTCCCACAAAACCATATCAGTAATTAAGTTTGTTATTGTTCGGAACAATGTGTTCTATTCACAGTCGATGGAATATGTATTTATTAAGATATATGATACCAGTTTACCATAATCATCAATCATCATTTCTAAGATGAAAAATATACACAGTAAACATTAATTTTAATACATTTGTTATAAATCTAATCGCTTTATGATATACTTTTATACTTCAGAATACTTTAATTTTGTCAACGAACAACATTATAGTTTCCTTACTGATATGTCTTGCAAATTGACCGCTATACTCGGTTCTTAAGCTATTCTTGTAACTCCGAAGCTAGAACTGCACAGCGACCTGAACAGGAGAGAAATGGCGAAAAATAGGCGAAAGCACTTTACTCCAGAGGTTCATTTTAATACAGAAAATATAGGATTTTTATAATATTTTAAATGTCATTGGGTTGCTCGAAGATTCTCGAATGCTACTAAACATAATAGCAGTGTAGGAATCAGTCAATCAGAAACTCTACATGTGACGGTTCACTTACTTGATGTTTCTGGCTAAAACTTCAAGGGAACGCTGATTGGATGAAATGCTATTTAGTGTTTCCTGATTCTTGCTTATTTTTTGCGAGGACTTTTCTGGATCCCCCCAACACTTACACTCTAAATCAAAATTAATTGACCATTCGAATGTGGACATTATCTAAGGCGCATCGAACTTATGAAGATTTTTTTCATTGAGATACTGACATCCATTATTTATCACTAAAACAAACTTTTACTTGCGTCATAACCAGAATTGAAAATATCTTTCCCGTTAGTTTAATCCAACAAAGAATCCCTTCGTTCGGTATCATTCGTAACACTGATTTTAAATTTGAATGGATTAGGTGACTTCGGACCTTCGCTTTCCAACAAATGTAAGTTGACCTAACAAAATGTGCATTTTATGCGCACAATTCTTTAACTATGACAGTTATACTCTGGGAATGATGAAGTGAATGTATGTCAACTTGAATCGTTCGTTCAGGCTACTTTCCGATTATATTTCTATTAGCCACATATATAAAGACAATGATTAGTCATTGATAAGAAGCCATAAAATGTTGTGAAACGATTCTTGAGAGCTAGAATCCAGGAAGCATGTTTCTAAGAGGACTCCGGTGTTTCCACATATGTGCTAATTTCACAAAATTAGCTTAGTTAATTATCTCAAGTTCATCATACAGGTGTTTGAATACAAGCGTCTAAACGTTTGCATATGATGAATATTCCCGGTTGCTCTATAAAGGCTTTGCATCATTTCACCTTAGTTTAGATTTAGTTTGTTTCTATATGATCTCATGGGGGCACAAATATTTCGATGGTGTGTTATGATTTATGCTTCTTGTATTTAATTTTCAACATTGATTAAACAATTTGAGTTACAATTAATAAGCAGGTAAGCTCATTTTTTAGATTCTTCTTTTTATCATAGGCTTTATAAATTGATGGTGTTGATAATCAGTCACTATGATCACCCAGTAATTATTCAATTGGCAATTTTATTTAAAATTACAAAGTGATTTCTCTGTCAAATCAATTTATTTTATCATTTAAAATTTACAAATTATCTAACTTTATTAACTTGCTTATTTAATCACCCTCATTTTTTGTCTCGGCTAATATGTGTTTTGTTTGTATAATTGTCTATTTATTCTATTCTAGAACAAACCCATTCAGATTATTTACCAAATCGAGTGATATCAGGTTTGTTTCTAAGTTTTCTAATGATAAGTTTTTACATTATTGATTCTCCAGTTTTTATAATAAAGACACTTAATCGAACATTAAACATAGACCTACTGGAATATAATAAAGATGCAACCTAAAATGGAAGTTGGAACTATACTTGATCAACCTGGAAAATCAATACCACCTCGTAATCTCACTCTGGTACCTCCACCTCATCGACAATGGACTAGTGGGATTTGTTATTGTTGCAAAAATAGGGATTGGGGTTAGTTTAACTAAAATTTTCATTTATGTTTTAATTCTGATGACTAGCTTCTGATGCAACGATATAAAAATAGATTTATATTCTATGGGATGTAAACATATCATGACATATGTGTATTTAAATCAGGGGGTTAGAATAGAAAATTATGCCGTTCCATACTAGTCCTAACACATGACTAAAGTGATAATAGCTTTGTTTTTATTTCAATTAATTAGAAATAGTCGGCCAACATTTATCAGTTAAGAATATTTTCAATTTACAGGAAGTTGATCCACTTGTAAATTTTAAACGTAGATTCTCTAGTGTCACATTTAGAGATGTGAACATTGAACATGTTGGGTTTCGACTGGCAGCATATATTATTTTAGAATCTGATTACTTTAAGTTTGATTTCGTTTGATAGATAAAGATCCAACAGCGATATTAGTGAATAGTACATTTACTATTAGATATGAAATCAATGGAATTCGAACAACAAAAAACAAGATGATCAAATTGTTGTGTCTGTGATTTTTATTAATGATTTGATAATTTAATTTTCTAATTAATAATAATTGATTAATTCTGATAATGATCTAGGTATAATTTACAAAAGGTATTGGTCAATTGAATGTTTAATAATTGTTTTATGAACAATATTTTATTTTATAGGTTCATTAAATGATACGAACCTTAGTGTAACAAGAGTCCATTTCTTTTACTTTTGATAACAATTAACTCATGACCAAATAATATAATTACTAGCTCACTTAATAATAACTATCTTTGTTAGATGTAAGTTATTTGAAAGAATCAAAGATTTAATTGACATAGGGTCTCAGAGTATGATCTCAAACCGCCTACTTTTTTATGAAGTTCGTGAATAAACACTTTATATGCTTTAGGAAATCCTTGATAAAACTACTTATTTCCTGTTAAATGACCCAAACAGAAGGTAATCGTCTTTTGACTGACTAAGTGCTTGTAATCAACATTCCAATAAAACTTAATACAAACCCTAAAAATTTAATAAATGAAGCAATAATACCATATTCATTCAATTGTTTATAGATATATTCCTGATTTTAACTATTTATGTACTAATTGGTTAGTAAAAAGCTAAGACATTTCAAATTTGCTCTCAGCATTAGCCATATACTCTAGTAAGATCTAATTCATAATTAATTAACATAAACAACTCGGTAAATACTAAACTAACATGTCAGTTCATCGAAAGCAATTTTTATTGACAATGTATCTAAACATGATTACATAATATGTTTATGTAAGCATATACGTGGAGTAGGTTAATTACTGATACTTTTTCTTCTATTCCGATCCCTACTACAACTAATAAAGTAATTACTGTAATGCGTTATTCATTGATTGCGCCTACACGATACACATTATTTACTTAACAAGAAATTTAAACATTTATGTATCATTAATATAAAATACATGACATGTTTATTGATCTATGATCAGTATCGTGATTGAACCACTGAACGGCACACGACAGAACTACATAATGTAAAGCTATGTAAAACTATGTTTTATTAGCAAGTGTTAAAAGTCAGTTAAGATTAGATTGTGATTATTAAGTAACGTGTAACATTAGATTCGTTTCTATTATCCAAAATCGGTACTTTTTTACAAAATAATATTGATTCTTTCTCGCTTTATGTATTTATAGTAATAATTAATAATAAAAATTTACAGGTTGTTTTGCGGTATGTTGTTACTTCTGTCTATTAAATCAACTGACAAAGGCAATGAATGAAAAAACTTGTTATCCATGTTTACCATGGTGTGGATTAGTAGGATTAAGAATGAAAATGAGAACAAGTTATGGAATAGAGGTATGCAGATTGATTGCAATCATTTATAATTATTCTAATCATTAATCTTACAACTTTATGTAATGTATAAACTTATTCAGGTTAACAATGCATCTTAGTTATTTTAACATTAATAATTTCATTTTACTTAACAATCCTAAATTCACATAATAAGACATTAAACGATATATCTTACCCCAAACCTGGCATTCTTTTTGGATGATTAATTTAGATATATAATTGTAGAACCTCAAGGGAATTGATTGCAAAGAATATTCTTCGTTCATATATAAGTGCAATGAAAGCGTTTTCGTTTTTTTTTTTCAAAAAATAATCTTTTCTATAATCGCAGATAATACCATCTAAAATGTAGATGGTCAATTTTTTTTATCATACTTAAATAATTTGCAGTCTCGGATACAAATATTTATTTTGGTAAACAAAACATAAGTTATAAGCAAAGATGGATGGCGGCTAGGAAGAAACGTGCTTCCTGGATTCCACTGCTAGCCACCATCCATTTATTCAAAGTGACTAGATGAATAGTTTTGAACAGTATTTCTTCTTGAAATGAACTGAAAAAGCAGATTAGTCAACCTTTTGTTTATTCTATATAATAATATAATTAAGACAGATTTAAGCCATTTAATCGCTTTATTACCTTTATTCTGTAATATTGAACTTTGATTTTCTGTTCTAGACTATATCAATATAATGGCGTGCAGTGTTCTTGAAAAAGTTTTGACATCATTTTAAGATTTATGTTTATTTCTAGATGAATTTGTAAAAGATTATTAGGTTAATTTTTATTCGAAGTTACGCATGAATTTCTTTGCTCTTTGATGTCATTTGGCAAAGTTTTCCAGCCGAGTCCTATGAGATAATTGAAATTGATGAAACTAAATTAATTTGAAAATTGTCTTCACTATAAACTGTCATCAACTAGTGAATGAGTAACTGAAAACCACTAAACACTAGGTATCTGTTTTGTCCCTGTTTAGAGACTTACATGAGTGTGCATCAAAAAGAATGGAATGTTTAAAATTATTTGTTAGCAAAAGAGAATTTAATATCAAAACTGTCAACCATTCAGTTAGTCGAAATCTTATTGGCTCAAAAATACTGTAACTGAAATAATCAAATAAAATAATTTAAGGCTTACATATAAACTTTATAACATTAGCTTGTGCTTTGATTATTTCAATTAATTGTTTATTATGAATACTATAGTAATTTTACTTACCTTTTTTACTTACGCCTGTTACTCCTAATAGAGCATACGACGCCGACCAACGTTCTCCAACTCACTCTGTCCTGGGACTTCTTTTCTAGTTCCATCCATTTCTTGTTCATTTTTCTCATGTCTATCTCTATTTCCCAGCGTGATGTGTAGTTTGGTCTTCCTCTCCTCCTTCGACCTTGAGGATTCCATGTGAGGGCTTGTTCTGTGACACAGTTCAGTGCTTTCCTCAATGTGTGTTTTATCCACTACCAGCGCTTCTTCCTGATTTCTTCCTCCACTGGGATCTGATTTGTTCTATCCCATAGTAGGTTGTTGATAATAGTGTTTGGCCAACGGATCCGAAGTATTTTACGTAGACAACTGTTAATAAACACTTGTATCTTCTGGATGATGGCTTTCGTAGTTCTCCAGGTTTCCGGTCCATACAGTAGAACTGTCTTGACTCCACCTGGAGTCCCTCCGGAGGCTACTGCCGATCTTAAGCCCGGATGAAAAAGGAGTGTTGTGCATAGGGTTAGCGACCCCATCCCGTAGAAAACTAACTCGCTAAAAAACGCTAACCAGAATTTCATAGTAGTAGGAATAAATTTAAAGCTTGATAAAATTATGCGTTTCATAATCAGAATACTTTGAGAAAACTACCTGTAAAAGTATGAGAGTTTAACACATCTTTAGTTTTTCCTTCCAACACTACATAACATAAAATGTATAGTTTAATAATACTTCATCATTAGTTACTTAAAAAATACTTGCTAAGTCATGGACGATAAGTCTTACTATTGACACGCCTAAGCTGTCTTTTTAGACGGTTGGGATATCCCCAGCTACTTTTACACGTCAACTGAAACACTAGAGAGTAGGCAAAAATTATAAGTTAATGTTTTATTCTAAGGTCAAGTTATGTACAGAAAAATTTAGGTATTTATAAAACCTCACACAACCTTGGGCTTCGAATATTTATAGAATATAGCAGCAGTATAGATTAACATCCAATCAAAGCTATGGAATGTGATTCTACATTTTTTAAGTATTCCTGAAAAGATTCTATTCAACACTGACTGGGTAAAACTTTTCCTGGTGTTCCTGAATACTAGGGATTTGGATGAGAAATGTTTTTAAGACTCCTCCAACAACAGAATGCTTAGTCTAGCATTATTATTATTATCCTTCAAACCTATTCAATTTTAAATAAATTTTCAGGAATGAGTCTATGAACAAAATTGTTAGTACGCACACAATTAATAACAAATGTCTTCAGGCTAATAGTCTAGAAAAAGTTACTAAGTTTTGATCATATTATCAGTCTACTTTGTCTAATAATCACTATATTCATTTCGAAATGTAGTTCCATCAATAATCTATGTTCAGTTTAAATTCAAAATTCACATGATTTATCCAAGATAATTAGGTTAGATACATCAAATTTCCATGGGAAGTTAAATCAGGATTATATTTTGTAGGACGTTAGTCTGCTTTTTTCCTAACATTACTTAAGTGTTGTTAAAGTTGTAAATAAATTAATGTCTTTATAACACGTCAACACAAATCATGCGCCTGCCGAATTACACAGGTAATTCCTTAAAGTAGCATAATCTGCAAACCTACAGGATTATTTTAAACAACATAACTTATACTACTTAACAGTAGTCACATTGTTATAGAAGAAGAAACAATTTTTCTTTTTGACAATTTGACTAAACTGAATAATCGTATTTTTAGTTAGTTTTATTTGCTAAAATAGTGTTCTACAGCAAGATAGAAAGGTACTAATCATCTCAAAAACTTTAAGCCGTATAATTATAAATAAATTCTTGTTATATTCCAATGAGTAGAAATATTATATTCCTGACGTTTTGTAACTTAATGTAAGCCACTTCTTCAGAGTAAATTTACTCTGGTAAAGTAACAAAAATTTGTTGATTACTAACTTTAAACCCAATGCTCAATTTATTTGTAATTATCAACTCCAACCTTGGCATTGATACCTATAAACTCATTGAAGTGGTACTTTGTCAGGAACTGAAAATCATGTATTGAACGTGAGTTAAGTAACAACCGGACATTTAAAAAGTGGTAAAGTGAAAATAATTGCCCACTTGATATGTTTTTGACAGAATAATTAAAAGTAGTAGCATTCGTTCATTAATAGCCGTGAAAATAATTTGAAAAGAGTATAAATAACAAAATAAAAAATCAAAAACACTATACATTATGAAAGATAGAAAGAGAGGTTAGGAACATAAAACAATGAAGAACTGAAGATACTGTTTTTGTACATCAACGTTAGACTTGAACTGGTGAATAGCTATAGCTTTTTCTGTGCGCTAGTTTTTGATTTACATTCTTGATGAATCAACTCTTCTGACTATATGTGTGATTTTGAAGGAGGCTTCTAGTGAATAAGAGTAACCAAAATTGACTAGATTCTCCAAGATTCAGCTTTTCAGTGACTTCTGTAATTCTTTGGAGAGCTAAACAAGACGATGTTCGGAAGTGCGTTTTGAAAAAGTCCGTTTTGTGTGGCCGATATAACCTGCTACATATAAGCAAATAAACTGTTAGATTATGGGCCATAATTTTAAAACGTCTATGAATTTTTATGACATTAATCGGTGAATGCTCTTTAATTTTCACTACAATCTGATAAGTGGTTTTTCAACTTAACATTATTTTACTAAACTGATAGAAGAGTTTTCTTTAGATTGTTAGATTAATTTGGCAAAACGTAGTTTTATCTTTGGCGCATCACCACCTTTAAATTTTCGTGTTGTATGAAGATATAAAACATTATCGAATAGTTTTTCTAAACGTCACCAAGTTATTTATCCTAAAACGTTTTAAAAAATGAATTGAATGTTTAATATGCTTGTAATTACGCATTCGCTGTACTAGATGATACTTTTTTGAACTGCTGGATTTGAGAAACTCCCAAAAGTAACCTTGCAAAGTATATTTTAGTCAGCTAAAAGTGGTAACTTAAATTAAGAATATATTACCGATATCAGTCTCTATGTGATCACAATAATTCATAATCTAATTTTAGACACAAAATTGTAGTATTTCTGAAACGGAAACGTGTCTTTATGAAATTCGATCGTTTTGCCTGTGAGTCCTGTAATGAATTACAAATACATCTGGACGATTACACCCAGTTTCAAAATCATGTATACTGTGCACGCGTCAACGAACCAGAGAAATCCCATTAATAGACAGAAATCTGACTCTAACATTCGGATATTTTTAGACATCCCATCGATGAAAACTTGATAAACTCCAGAGTCAACTTTAAGCAGACCATAGAAAAATTAGTTCTCAGACGTCTTATAAGTAAAGTTCGTTAGAACGTGCGAACAATCCATGCGATATTATTCCAGGTTCATCATAACATAATCGATGTTTCTCGATTAATACAACACTCTAAATAGTTAATATTAGCATCCTTTTATAAAATTTTTTAAAAGGATTATTGAAAGTAAGCACAGTTAAAACTGAAAAGTTACATTAAAATGCAGCCTCATCTATATGGTTATATCCACATTCGAACTGTTTCTTGTAAGATACTCTACAGTTTTAATCAATCTAATGCACATTTGAATGTATTAAATTATGGAGTTCTATAAGTTCTTATAATCATGATTATGAGCCCCACTAAGAAACTCTTAATATCGCTCAATTTATCGAAAAAATGAATAAGTCATTTTGATCGATTTATAATGAATGATTTAAAAATCATGGCCACATTAAAACGATTATACGCATTTGTTATTTGCTAGAAAATATTGCGAGAAATAACATTAAAATGTACATAGAATATGGTGCCAAGATAGCGAACAAATATTCACGTTCAAACATGTAAATTTCTGTTTCTCAACTATTTCTATCATTGATAACAATGATAATACCTAACTGAAGCCTCAGTTTATTTGTTACTTATTTATAGATCATACAAAATTTTATGAACAAA